TTTCCAGCTGATTGGCACTTCTTCGGGATTGTCAGGGCTCAGTGGAAGCACCAGGATCAGCACCAGGCTCTAGCTAGAACTCGGCACTGATCCTGGTGCTTCTGCTGAGCCCTGAAGAAGTACCAATCAGTTGGAAAGCAGCACTGATCCTGGCACTTCCACTGACCCCAGAAGAAGCGCTGATCAGCTGGAATGTTGCAGCATCTCCAGGGTCTTGTGATTTACATTCAGATGCTTGGCAACTGATTCATATTTATGACGGTCACACTGTCCCAGGGTCATGTGAAGTAACCAAAACCTGCTGCAACCACCCAGCAGATGGGGGGGAATAAAAACCAAACACCCCCCCACCCCACCCCCACTGCCAATCCTCAACAGAAATGCTCACAACAATGAAAACCTTGGACAGGAGGAAGAGCGCCGCCGGGTGGGCAGGCAGGTGTCTTGCTCGGCTGTGGCTTGGGGGGCACTTTTTCAGTGCCACTGTAACTTTGAACAGTCACTAAGTGAACTGTTGTAAGTCGAGGACTACCTGTACTTTATCACTTTTTTCCTTTTTTGGGGGGGGGGTCATCAAATTTTTGACACCTTGCTAGGCGACTGGTGGTACTCGGATGTTGCCATATCCTAAAAATGGTACAATGGGTGAAAAGGTTGAAAAGTCCTGCCCTAACTGGTCTGACTACATCTCTGCTGGGACTGGAATGAAGCTCAGACATAGTAGGTGATGTAGTAAAAAATGTGTAACATGTAAAATTAATTTCAAAGACTAATACTATCAGCAAAAGTATAATCAAGAATGGGCAGAAAGTAAATTGTTTTATGCTTGTAGTGTGAAATATGTAGACTTCATATTCATATTGTAATGATGGATCTTTTGCACTCAAAGAGTCATTTTAACAGTTACAAAAATGAATTTCATGACATATTCAATTTTTTTAGAAACTATATCAGTCAAAATACCTTAAATAAAATAGAAATCAAAAAGAAATCAGGTTGATTTAAACAAATAAATTTATGGGATTTATAGATTGACATAATCTTTTACAATTCTGGGCAGCTTTCAAAATATCTGATGGAAACATAGAAATGAGAGAGAAAAAAAATGTAGCCTTTCAAATGTGATGAATCACAATTCCTTTTAGCTGAAGCTAAGGTAGCCAATGGAAAGAAATGCTGGCAGTGGAATTTAAGAACATTTGAAGATCACATGTTTGCCATTCTTCTGGAGTTTCTGCTGTTTTATCATGTTACAGCTAATAAGCTACTTTACAAATATACCATTTGTTCCTATGCTACTATTAGTTAGGCTGCAAAAGGTATCCTGATGATAAGAAGTGGTGTGCCCTGCAATTTTTGGCTTGTTTGGGGGATTTGATGAGTCATTTTAAAGATGAAAGACACTACATGTCACAAAAAGTAAACTATTTATTTTGACTATTAGGTTGCAAGAAAAAGTAAAAATTGTATCACTTAAAAATTGGACATTTTATTACTAAATTCAGTACTGCAATCTCAAGGAACCCAGTGGCTCCCAATATTTATTAATATCTATTTATATCATAATTTATACCTAATAAAGATCATAGCTTTCAAAACACTTCATTTCTATTTTTCAGTGCTGAAAAATATTTTATTTTATTGATGTTCAAAAGTAAAAAAGACTATAATACATACAAATCAGTAACACAAGAAGCAGACTTAACTTATAAGCAGAACAGAAATTGATGACAAACATTTAATGTTGCTAACTTTTTATCTAGGATGTAATTAAATAGACTGTTCAAGCAGAAATATAATTCAAACCCAATATGAATGAAGGCAAATGTACATGTCCCAGGATAATGTTGCAGGATCCAATCTGGATCAGTCACTGGGACCAGAGGTTTACTCTTAGTCAAGCTTTTGGAGTCAAACTGGATCCCATCCTCAGAGAACTTCTCTCTAGCAGAATTTATGCTTTGGGCTGTTCTTTGTGCAGTATTTATGTGGCGCCTGGTTGTGTGTAGCCTTTTAGTTGTTGATTGAGGTGTTGATGGTTGGCTATTAAGTCATTGGTTATTGTTTCCTTATGCTGCCAAACCCTCGGCTCCTAAGTATTTGATAAGATGGTGGTAAATCAGCACTGATTTGTTCATGAACAAGGACATACATTTAATTTTGCAGCTACTAAGGTTGTTGGCTGAGCAGGGATAAAAGGAGCCAGGGAAATGACTGAAGCCTGGAAAATGAGCCCCTTGTCAGCTAACAGGAGTTCTGATTTACCACCAGCTTATCAAGTACTTAGGAGCCAACGGCTTGGCAGCACAAGAAAACAACAGCCAACAACTTAATAATCGGCTATCATACTCCAATCAAAACTAAAAAGCCACACACAACCAGGCACCACATAAACACTATACACAAAACAGCCAAAATACACATTCTGCTAGAGAGACGTTCTCTGAGGATGGGCTCCAGCACAAGTCCAAAAGCTCAGAAGATTAAACCTCTGGTCTCAGTAACCAATCCAGTTTGGATCCTCAAACCTCATATTTTCAAAGAACAATAGAAATAATATAATAGAATTTGACAATTTTTACAAAGATTTCAATAGAATAATCTGCTAATAGAAAGTATACAACTCCCATTTCAGGCCAGACTTCCATTTCAGGGCAGCTGAAGTCAAGTTGATTGCATAGATGGCCTCATCCAAGTACAAGCTGTGGCATTCCAGCACACTCAGAATAAAACATTGAGCCTTTCTAATTTAAATGCTTTCCTGGTATTGAGAAAGGTCCGCTGAAGAGATCTCATAATAATGGTTTGAATATTGGATCTGTCATTCTGCAAATACAAATCAAGGACTATTTGACTTCTACTTCCTCTGGTCCAAGCATTAGCATTTATTAAGCAGAGAGGCCCCCCTACAATACAAATGTTAGGATAAACTGTTTTTTCTAGGATGAAGTAAAATTATAGGCAAGGATTTTCTGAACTAATGAACTCTCTTCCATACTTTTAGTCAACAATTCAAGTGGAAAATTCTTATGAGGGCCTCTACAGAGGCATAGTCTAGTCCAGTCCATTAATCATAGTTGTTATACATTTTTATTACCTTGTTCCATTGCTTTTAGAATCCTCAACACCTTAGCTCTAAATAATCTGACAGTCAGTTTATAACACCTTTATTTTTAAATATCTAATTTCTAATCTTTTGTCATAGCAATATCATGTTAGAGTCTGGAGTTCTAATAAAGGTCAACTTGAGTCTGGAGCACTGACCTTGTAGGAAAGGTCACAAATGATGATCACAGAACCCTGAGATACTGCAATTGTTGTAAATACATGCCCAAATTTTGATTGCATGACTGTGGGGATGCTGCAATAAGTGTAAGTGTGAATAATGGCTGTAATTCACTTTTTTCAGTGCTGTTGTAACTTTGAGCAGCATTAAATGAATGGTTGTAAATCAAGGACTACTTGTAACATTCAACAACTTCTGATTATAGGATCAAAATGTGCTAATACAGATAGCAAGTATGCTACAAGCTATATGCCATATTGGGCATCATTTTCTTTATGTCGTGATTGTATATGCATAAAAATGAAACATAAAGAGTATATTCACCTTTTCCCGTACCTGTATAAATAACTAACTTCCACAGCTTTAGGAATTTAAGACTTATAGAAAAAAATCATCAGCAAGATGAATGGAAAGTAGTTTTACATCAGAAAATGTAGTGGTCAGGTCATAATAGTATCATGCTTTCTGCCTGCCATCAACATCTTCCAACCCATTTCACTTGCAGAAAGTGTTCACATTATAGTTTTAGGATCTAAATTAAAAATGTCTCTACTACCATGTATGCATGGCTGTAGTTACACATATTTGCCCATGATTAAGAATGTTAATGTAGGCCACTATTATATTTTCCCATAATCTAGGGCAGAAAAAATAATGATCTATCAAGTTTTATTTCAGGAATACATCCATGAACCTTGGGGTTCTCATTTCAGTCTTAGATCTTTCACTTCTATCACTGTATTTATAATGCACACAGTACTTCATTCTTGCCACTCCATCATTCCAACTCTTAATCCCTTGTCATTCTACTGGAAGTTGTCAGAATTATTGTTTCAGCCTCTTATGACTACTCCTTCTCTTTATGTTTTTAATTTTGAATAACTGATGAGCAAAAAAAAGGGCAGAAAACAGTAAAACAGTAAGCCCTGCACCACCAGTTACTAAACCCAGAAAGTATTTGCCATAATAAGAACATTCAACATTAAATGTTGTAAAAAGAAACCAGGCTGTCAAAGAATACAGTGGCTGGACACCAGCCAGAGCATAGAAAAGCTGACACCAGCCAGAGTATAGAAAAACTCAAAGTAGTGCAAGATCAGAAGGTATGAAAAGACCTGGCCCATAAAACCGTCAAGAATCGGATATGACTGAATGGATAACATCATCATCATCATCATTAAATGTCATTTAGTTTTAATCCTGTTTGTTTTACATACTTTTTACAGGTGCTATATTTTTATGATCTATTTTATATCAATTTTATTTGCTCAATATTGAAGATTTCATGTCTATAATTTGAAGGTGCTTCTGACACAAATAATAAAAAAAAACATTACATAAAAAATGAGCCCCTGCGTCGTCTCCAGATCCTGATTTGTAACCTGCACCGTTTTCACTGACGGTGCCTAATCCTGTTCTTCTCCGGGGGACTTTAAGAGAGCTAAGAGCTAACGTGCAAAGAGCGTCCTCTTGAGCAGTCCCCCGGTAAGGCTCAGGAGAGAATTTCAAGTAAGGGAAGGCTAGCACGGGCGATCTCGGGGAAGGGTGCCCTTTTTTCTGCCCCGGTTTTCCGAGAGCATCCTTGGAGGCGGCTACCTGCCATCCACCATCCACACACTCATCCTCTGGAGCGGGAAGGGAGAAGGGGCGGGCCAAGGCAGGCGCTCGCGCTCTACGCTGCGTCTCTCTCTCTCTCCCCCCCCCCCATACCTACCAACATCTCCTTGGCAGCGGCTGCCACAGGGATGGGCTGCAGTCCTCGGCCTTGGCTCGGCGTCCCGGTTTCTCCTTGCTCCCTCCGGCTGCCGAGCCCCAGCGCGGGGGGCGACTGGTGCGGGCGGCGGTCGTAGTAGTGGTAGCAGGCGAGCCAAGCGAGCGCCCCGCCAGCAGCCCCCGCGGCTGCGATGCTCAGTCCACTCGGGGTCCCCTCGCGGCCGGAGTCGGTGGCCTTCAGTCCCCATAGTGGCCGGCGAGGTGCCGCCTCCAAGGGGAGACGACAACGGCGCCAACCCAAGAGACCTCGCAGCGCCGCCATAGACCCGGGTCCTCGGAGTGACAGGGCGAACGAAGGCGCTGAAGCGGCAACAGCAGCCGCGGCAGGGAAACATCGCGAGAGCTCCACGAGCTGCCAAGCGCGAAATGAGGGACTCTGCTTCCAAATGCCACTTACCCCTCCCAACCGGGCTGGCTTCACGTCCCTCCTTCCGTTTGGCGGGTTGTCTGTCATCCCCGCAGGTTCCTTCTCTGGGAGTTTCTGCTTGTGAGGCTCCGGATTGCCGAGTTCTCTGCCGGTTGGCATCTCGAGGTGCCTGCGATTGCAATCTGGATTGTATCTTTGGAAGTAATGATGATTGCGGAGGCTTTCTACTAACAACGCATTCGCAGTAATTTTGTCTTCCTTTGCTCTGCATACTCTGAGCTAATAAGAGCATAAGAATTAGTTGGCTGGTTCTGGCCCACCGAGTATTCTAGCACAGTATGGCCCAATTAAAGATAGAAGTGGCCTCTCTTCTCTATTATAATTCTGTAATGCAATTAAATTCAGTCAATACAGTATTTCACTGAGAAAAAAGGATAACTCTCAGGGCTGCACCTCCAGCAAAAGTGTAGAAGAGGCTATCTTTTAAAGAGTTCTAGTCCTGCCTTAGGGGCAAAGCCAACTGAGTGACCTTGGGCCAGTTACTCTTTCTCAGCCTTAGGAAGAAAGCAAGGGCAAAGAGGTTCTGAAATCTTGTCAAGAAAACTGCAGGGACTTGTCCAGAGACTTGCCAGGAGTCAACAGTGCCTGAAAGCACCTTCTCACCCTCCCAAAAAAGTAATCAGAAGCTCCTAAGATAGCTCCAGACCATTCTGCCACCAACTGCAAGTGTTGTTGAGAATTATACAGTATTCTCCCTGAGTGGAAAAATTCTATTTAGATGCAATAGTGAACAGCAACTAGAAGAAATTACTTGTGAATTTATCCAATTTATTTTAAACAGCCATCTCACAACTGTGTCTCAATGAATGGGTCCTGGCTGAATTATTTATTTGGAATTCTTTTCTAATTTCTGATATGTGGATACAGGGCTGCATTCTTTTACAGGCTGAGCCAACCTATATTTTAAAAATAAAATATTTATTTAGCAAATGTAAATTTATATAGTGAATCCTAAAGTAAAAGGAATATTATTATGACCATTATATTTTATCCCACATTTTTTCCGTATAATTCAAGATATCACATAACTAATTTTCCTGCATATTTTCCCTATAACCACAAACCTGCTCAATGTGTTGGATTGAGAGAGAGAGGGACTAATCCAAATTCATCCAGATGGCTTTCATGCCTAAAGGAAGGCCAGCACCTTAACCACCACACAGACTAGTGTAATGACTGGACAGCAAACATTTATATTCATTTCCAACTACTCCTGATTTGCAATTATACCAATTAGTTATCAGTATGTGTACAGAAATGCAGGATTGAAAATCATGTGGCTGTGTTATTAATGGGACAGATGAGCTTCCTCTGTGCTTTTTAGGCTGGCTTATGCATATGAACCATTTAGTAACATCTGAACAAATACTTTTTAAGAAAAAATCCACCAGGATGAGTGGAAATCACTTTATTGTTGCCATTTGTTGCTCTATATCTGATGCAGAATAGTTACAAATGGAATTGAAACCTATGATAACTGATGGTCCAGAATGCATCAATCGTCTCTATTTTAAAAGCAGTGGTGGGATTCAGCCCTGATTAGATGAACTCAGTAAGTAGAAACTAGAATTCCTTCTTCATTAAAGCCACTTTCTGATGTTAAGTGATTTTCAAAGAGCAGCTGTTTGAGGACTTGAAGCATTTTGCAGGTGTTGCTCTCTTGAAGCTTTGCTAATTGAATGTATTTTTTGACTGGCAAAAAACTTCAAGGTGCAGGAAAAGAAGCATAGAATGGTAGAGCTTTAAATATCTATTTGCTGCAGGAGATACAGCTTCAAGGAGATAGAGGAGTCCCACTTGAGTTCTGTAAGCCAAAAGTCTTTTGTAGAACATCAATTATCCTGAACTGCAGGAGCATTTTTTGTGTTTCTTTACTTTATTTTATGCACATGAGAAATCCAGAAGGACTTTCCAGGGAATAAAGGCAGGCTTTACGGAAGTACAGGCATTTCCATGCACTGCTATAAAATACTGCAGGATCCAATCTGGGTCGGTCAGCAGGTTTAGTCTTCCAAGCTTTCAGACTCATGCTGGAGCCCATCTACAGGGAACTTTTATCTGGTGGAATGTGTGCTTTGGGCTATTCTGTGTGTGGTATTTATTTATTTATTTGCAAGAAGGAATTTATTGTTGTGATGGACAAGCAGTCACAGCCACTTGAAAGGAACCTGGGAAATCACAAAAGCCTATAAAGCATTTATACACACACACATGCACACGACAGTTAAGGGAGTCTCAACATGACATTTTTGCGTGAATTTTTGTCTTTAGGACAGCTGCTGTCAGGAAGCAGGAAAACAGGATTGCGTTACACCTTAAATTCAAAACTAAGAACAGCTGGCTTGCTTTTCACATTGTTGTTTTTTTTCTCAAGTTTTAAACATAAGTGTTAAAGCCTTAAAGGCTTGAACTGCATCCAGTGAGAGGCTAAGGATCTGTTTCAGTTGCCAAACTTCAAGCAGCCTTGCACAGGGCCACGGCAGAAAAATGCACCTCTCCTTGCTCACGTTGGGTAAATTGTTTGCAGATCTCGGCTGATGCCTTGAGCATGGCTCCTCTGAACTGGCTCCGTGCTTAATAGGGAATGGCATTCTTCCATCCAGTTCGTAGAGGTGTCCGCCTACGCTGGCAAATAGAATGAAATGGAAGTTCACCTTATCGTCTTCAGCATGCCATTGGTCCTCTTGGACAACTGCATTGTGGGCTTCTTGAATGGCCTTGTTGTTCTCCAGACGTTTTGCCCTCTCATCTGGAGGCAGTCCAGCTGTCACAGTGAGGAATTCTTTTAGTGCAGATCCTTTATCAAATCGTATTTTATCTTGATTATTAGCTACCGTGTGGATAAGGCCAATGATTCCACAAGAGTTACTGGCAGCCTGCTTCACAAAGTAGATAACTGAACTCGTTTCTTGGCCCCTCAGTTCTTCAATCTGCTTTTTCTGAAGTTTTCGTGCTGAGCTGTAAGGGAAAAGAGCAAAAGTACTGCACAAGCTGGAGTCGGCACTCAAGATGTCTTTCTCAAACCCTAAGACATCTACAAATTGCCAGCCAAGGGCAACTTCTAGGCGATGGAGTATTTTGTTCAGCATCTCCGGGTTGATCTCCATGGGCTGCCACGCCATCCTGCCACTCGCGAACCCACCGCTAACCGGATCTGTTCTGGGGCTGTGTGTGGTATTTATATGGTAGCTGTTGTATGTGGCTTTTTAGATGTTGATTGGGGTTAAAATACTGTACAAGTTAAAGTTTTATATAGTTAAAATACTGTACAAAATATATTAGCTATCATTTTCTGTATGTTCATTTTTATAATCCTGTTTTATTTGAACTTATACTGTAAGACCAAAGAATTTTGATCTAGACATAAATGTGCACTGATTTTCTAGTTACATACATTTGTAGTTGATTTTCCATTGAGACCATTGCTATCATTGAAATACCAGCTTGATGTGTTATAATAATTCATTTGTAAGCATGCTAATTGTCATTCTCAAATTGGAAACTCTTTTCCCTTATCTTTCTGAAGACTGTCACCAAACCATCTTTGAGATTACATACTTCGTACACAATATCTAGTTACTCCAATGCCTGTATGAGCATAATAATTACTTGCATTGTGAGTTTTTAAAAAATGCACAAGATTGTTTCACCTATATATTTGTTTAACACTACTGAAAATGTTCTAGGAAGTAAAAAGAAAATGATTAGATTGCAGGATATACTTAAAAGTAGAATAATGTACTTTGAAACAACACTCTTTGAATATATTTAACTTTCCATAATAGCAATACAGAAAGAAGGCAAAAACTTTCAGTGTTATCTTTTCCTGTCACATGATTAGTGCAAATAGCAAGGTGAAAAAATAACCTTATCGTGTTTTTCCCGGTACTTGATAAAATGGCATAACTGCTTCCGAGCTTCAACATGAAAGGTAGCGCTTGAAAGAAGTCAGTTTGTTTTGTATTTCACTTTCGCTGCTACTCTAAGCATCTTGATAATTTGATTAAAAGAGATTATGTTGAGCTTGTAATAAATGTAGCCGCCAATTGTGTTTTTCAGAGACTTCATCAATACTGGCTAAGTAGACTTTCCAAGTGTTGATTATCCAATGAGAAAAACTGACTTGCTAATCCCTAATATATGCCAAACATCTGATTCAAGCTAAAAAATGCTCATTCTTTTGTGCATAAGCTGTATGGATTCATTTTTTTACATCCTTTCAATACTTTCAATCTTCTTTCTATATATTTGGGGGTTCAACATGCATAGCAGTTTGATCCCAACATTAATTTGGTTGTAATCTTGATTACAGTTGAGAAGCTTTAGCTAGAGCAGAACAGCTGTTTTGTTAGTAGGCATCTTTTATACTAGTGTGCTTGTGTTTCGTATCTAGTTCAAACTTTGTTATATAAGCAAGGTTGTTTAATCTGTCTATAAGATATTACTCCCTTACTTTTTTACCCAACATAATCTGTCCATTTAACAAAAATGTCCTCTCAGTCATACTATCAGTTTGGACACTAAGTGCCTATATTTAATCACTACAGAATAATAACTTCTTTATGGAATACCCTTATGCAATGAAGAAGTTTATGAACCCCAATAATGTCAGAAGCTATATCATTGGGAAACTTTACTCCCAGAAGTATCACCCATGGCGTAATAGATGAAGAAGTGGATCAAAATGATTCATTGGATGAGGATTTAACAACCTACTCCATATGAATGCCATTACTACATGGATCCACAGAAACTTAATGTTGTCAGAGTAAAAGTGTCAAGCTGAAACTGAAATGGACTGGAATCAGTCTCTTCATATTAGATATAAAAATTTGGTTTTGCTGTACTAAATGAAACAACAGAGAGACTAAAAATGTTAAGTTCTTGGTAGCTTATATTAATAAAAAACAAGGTTCTTCCTAGCCTTTTAAAAAGAATTATTGGAGAGAAGAAGATAAACTTACATTTATGACCACAACCAGGGCCAGGATTTCCATTGCTAAGCAAGGTGGTTGTTAAGTAAGTTGTGCCTAATTTTATGACATTTGTTGCCCCTGTTAAGTGAATCATTATAGTCATTCGGTCCTCAGCAAATCTGGTTTCTGTTATTGACTTTGTCAGAAACCAGCTGAGAAGATCACAAATGCCAGTCACATGACCCAGGGATACTGCAACCATCATAAATACACCTCAGTTGCCAACACCCAAATTATGATCACATGCTATGGGAATGC